GAGGGGAGGGGGCTGGGGGGATGGGTTAGCCTGGTGATGGGTATTAAAGAGGGCATGTACTGCATTGAGCACTGGGTGTTATATGCAAACAATGAATCATGGAACACTACATCAAAAACTAATGATGTAATGTATAGTGATTAACATAACATAATAAAATAATAAATAAATAAATAAATAAATCTTCATGAGGACTTGGTAAAGGATCTTGCAGGCACAAACCGGACTTAAAGATTTCCCCTAAAGCATTTATTAATGTGAAAATATTTTGTGTTTTTATTGTTATCACTGGTATTGCTGTTTCTTTGTTTTTCTAGCTGTAGATACAGGGATTGAGAAATAGTTTTGTTTTCAAATACAGAAGATAATGGCTCTTTTTTATTTAAAATTTATTCTTCAGTTCATCTCTCTCCTCTTGAATTTTATGTAGAATCTTTGATATTCTGCCTAGAAGAGGCTATGTGGAATCTTTGATATTCTGCCTATAAGTCTCCTTAACCAAATTAAGTGTCCATGCATTTTCTAATTTCTACATTTACTGCAGTTGACAGTGCTGTCAAATTTCTATGACTATATACTTCCATCAACTCCAGTATTTTCTTTGCATTCCTTTAAGTCCTCCCTGAAAATCTTCTTCAGGTTCATTAGGTGTCCACTAACACTCTCCTTGAGGTCCTTTATTATTTCATCTTGAGTCTCTCACAGCCTTCTTCTTGACCCCAGAACCTATGCCAAAATTTTTAGACATTTGTTAAGACAGCATTGCACTTCCAGGCATAACTTTTTTTTTGTTCTGCTTAGCTATTAGTGTGTAACAAGCCATCTCAAAACTCAGCCACTTAAAACAACAATGATATTTTATTATATTTCACAATTTCTCTGAATCAAGAATTCAGAAAGATCTTGGCTAGACATTTCTGTCTCAGTCATTCATTTGGTTGCAGTAAGATGGTGTATGAAACAAAACAGTGTGGAGGAATTGAAGTAGCCGAGGGAATGGCTGGCCATCTCTGACTCTATCTTTTTGTAGTCCTAAGGCCACCTTCTTAGGTTCTCATAGTTCTGTTCAGTACTATACTATAACATGGAAATAAAAGAAATGTAAGTCCTTTGGAGAGTGAATGGTATTTATTTACAGACAATCTAATTATATAGGAAATTCAATGAATCTACAAAATAACCCATAAAAATTCAGTTTTGGGAAATTAGATTATTGGGATGTCAGTTCTCCCCAAACTTAGGTATAGATTTAATGTAACCTATCAGAATTCTAGGAGGCATGTTTTAGAGATTGGCAAGCCACTGAAAAAATTTATATGGAAAAAGTAAAATAAAATATGTAATAGCTTAAACAAATTTGACAAAGATAAAGTTGGAGGTCTTGTATCACCTGATTTCAAAAGCTTCATACTGTCATGATTTTGTGATATCATGACAATGTGATATAACATAGATAAATAGAACAGAAGACATAGTCAAAAAGTAGATACAATCAATTAATTTTCAACACACACATCAAAATAATTTATGGGTATAAGATAGTCTTTCAACAAATGGTACAGTAACAACTGGATGCCTCTACTAAAACAAACAACAAAAAACAAACAAAAATTTTAGTCTTACCTCGCATGGTACAAAGAACTGAAATGGATCATATATGCCACTGTAAAAGCATAAAATCTCTTGAAAAAAAGGATAGGAGAAAATATCCACAGGCCAAGATTTCTTAGATAGGAAACAAAGTACACTAACTGTAATAGCAAACAAAACCAAAAACATAGAATATAGAAATAATATTCCTAAACAAAAGAAGAACAAATTTAATCCAACAATTATTAAAACGGACAAAGGATTATGTCTAAGAGGGATTTATCCCAATATGAAAGTTTGGTTTAATGTTCAAATTCTATCAATTAATTCTCCATATTAATAAGATAAAGCAGCACAAATCATATCTCAAACAATGTGGGGAAGAACAAGATTTATAACATTCAACACCCATTGATTAAAAAAAATCA